CTTTAAAACAAAGTTGATTCAGCAAAAATTCATTAAGAGTTTGCTACGTGCAAGGCACTGGGGGAACATATAAGAATAAATAAGGTGAGGCAATTGAACTCAAAAAACTTACATTCTAACACATTTGGATTTTTTCCTAAAAAGAGAAGATAATCCAACCCCAAGGATGTGGATAGATTTTCTTGTCTGGTGAAATATGTATTATCTTGTAGCAGAGGCTATCATATCTTACCTGAATCATTTTGGTGTGAAGACCTTGTCCCAATTCACAGCCACCGTGAGTCACTAAGACAGACCCATCCTGATAGATATGAACTAGAGAAGCAGTCTAGAAAGAGGAACAAATATCAATTCGGCTAACATAGAGGGGAAGGAACAAACAAATGCTGCCAAACATCTGGCACAAGCAGAGGAAATTTTTATTCTGCAATTTACAACAGTCTCTTCCCTTTGTATTACTGAAGAAAACAATAATCTCTATGACTACAGGAAATTTCTAGGATACCAATGGCTGGATTAAATATGACACACAAATGCATGAATGAATGGTCACCCCCCATGGCCAGGGATCAGACTTTTTTCTCCCTGCTTCGGAATGACCTATGAAAGTTGCCCCGCTCTGTTTTTCTCTCTCTACCACCTTGAAAATGCTCCTCAAGAGCTGTTGCTGCCCATCATCCACTGCTGGACATCATATAAAGATCTAGTAGGAATTGTTCCCCTATATTCACTTCTCACTAGCATGTTATTATTGACAGAATGAGGATTTATTTCTGTCTCCTCTTGCCTTTACATTTTTAGGGTTTTTGTGTGTGTGACAGGAATTGAGGAAGGCAAACATATATTAATGGAATTACAGAACCTATGGAGAAAAATATACTTCTGAATGCATTGGTCAATTTTGGAATTTGGATTTTGGAAGCTGCCTAATGAGCATTTTATATTTTATGGGAAAATGTGTTGCAAGAAACCAATTTGTGCATTAGTTTTTGGAATATGACCCAGTTGTGAGTTGAATTATTCTTATACACTCCTTTTTTTGGAGGATTAATACAATGTCATCTCATAGGATCATAGGATTTAGAGATGGAAAGGACTTTAACATTCATCTAATCCAAAGTCCTCATTCTACAGATTAAGAAACTGAAGCCTACACAAGGGAAGTAGCTAGCACAAAGTCATATAGTTGGTATGTGGCAGAGTCCAGCTTCCATGCTAGGTACTCTGACTCCAAAGTGCAATAGTTGATATTTATGTAGCGCTTTAAGATTTGCAAAGTGCTTTAGATATTTTATCTCATTTAATCCTCACAACAATCCTATCAATTTACATGCATTATTTCATTTGATCCTCCCAACAACCTTGTAAATTAGGTGCCATTATTATTCCCACTGTAGTGTTCAGGAAGCTAAGGTGAAAGGTGAAAGGACTGTTACAGGGTCACACAGCTAGTAAGTGGAAGAACCAGGATTCAAACCTGGGTACTCTGCCTCCAAATCCAGTATGCTTTCCACTATAGCACAACTATCTTCTATAATCAAAAAGCAGCTTGGCTTTGTGATCCCTGCATTACTTCCCTGCTGATTTCTGAAAGATACAAATAATTGGGGATTATTTGGCCCCTGTGGAAAGAGCCTTAATCAAAGGATTAGAAGACTGGCATTTGAGTTTTAATTTTGAGCTTACTAGCTGTAGGGCCTTATACTTTGGACGTTGGACAATAATTTCTTTGAGCTTTAGTTTCCTCAGCTTTATAATGGAAAGAAAAAAAAACACCACCTACTTTGTTTGCTTCACAAGGTGATTGTAAGGATAAAATATAATAATATGTTGTAAAGGGAATTTTTGAAAAAAGTGACATACTTATTTAGTAGTTAAATAATACTTATTTATTTTGGGGCACATTCCATAGGCCCATAACTTTTTAAAGCACAATAGTGCTTTTCAAAGACCCAAAGACATGAAACTACCACATCTCCTGCTGCCACACAGAAACTAAGATGAGTGGAAGGAGCCCTTTTCTCTAGGATGGTGGTCATTTTTCCCCTCCTTCTGTTCTTCTCTCTCCAACTTGTATTTCTTTCTTCCTTCCTTCTTTCCTCCCTGCCTACCTTATTCTTTCTGCCTTCCTTCTTTCTTACCTTGACATCTTCTCACATTTCCTATTTGCTATCTCCCTGCCTTCCCACCTTCACATTTCCCCAACTTTCTTCTTTCTTTACTTTCTCTCTTTTTAAATAACTCTTTCTCTTTTTCCTTTCTGCTTGAAAGTCCTATTGATGTATTTATCATCAAACAATTTGGAAAAGACTTTCATATGATGATAGTTCCTTCCATGCCCCACCTGACTTTCATATCCAGTAGGCACTCCAACTGTAAATTTCATGGGAATAATAGCAATCCCTTTCTTCTTCCAGTCATTTTCCTTGTTAAATTCTTCTATGGCTGTTTTCCTGCTCTGGAATGAAGATTTCTCTAGACATTCTTTCCAACATTTTAGCAATGGCTCTGGATTATATGGTTCATTGTAAGCCGTTTTGTTAACTGTTTTGGACATGTTCATGTCCCTAACCTGAAAGAGAGAAGACAATTACATCACGAAGACAGAAGCTGACTGTATCACATTTAAGTCATGCTTTATGTACTTTGAGTAATGTTCTGAAGAAAGAGACAATTGCAAAGGAAATCTGTGAAAACTAACTGTGTGTTTGCATGTCTGTGTGTACACATAGGAGTTTTATCCTATCCGATTATTAAATCCTTATTGGTATTTTTATCAATCACTGAGTGTTTACTTGATTACCTTTTCTGGTGATAAGCCACATTTGAATGCCACAGCTGTTATGTAATTCTCAACTGCCAAAGCTCCTTGGGGGAAGCCAAATCCTCTGAAGGCCGTATTGGATGGCAAATTTGTTTTACAAGCCCTACCCCTGCACCGAAAGTTAGGAATATCATAAGCATTTTCAGATTTCAGCACGATGAACTCTATCACCTAGATCGAAAAGAAACAGTACACACCAATTAGAAATTCAAACATTATAACTTTGAACTGAACTCTGGACTGAACGGATTTTTGTTGTAATCATACATTAATGTAGAAAAGCATAATATAGGACTAAATTCAAACAGAGTATGAATAGGATGGGTATATTCCTAAATTGGGTAGTCAATTACTGAGCTATGAAGTCTTACTTTATCTTTTATTAGAACCTTACCATTTCAGACTCATCTGGAGTGCACCCAGCATTGGTATAATATTGGAGATCCACAGCTTTGATCAAGCCATTTTTCATGAATCCTATCTGCAATGTGTTAATAAGGATGTCAGTAAATTACAAATACTTGAATCTAGTAGCTTAACCTTGAAGTATTAAAAAAATGATCACAGTTGCCAAATCACACAGCATAGCTATTATAAGTTACAATTAATGGCTCATAAACTATGCATTTTACAACTTTAGTGGAGCACTGGAGATATAAACTACTTCTTTATTCTAAGAGAGCTCAGAGAGGAGTTCCCATCCTGAGTGGAAAGCTACCTACTAATCTGAGTTGATGAATGGAAATTGTTCTGAGAACGGCTTTTTGATCTTCCACAAACAACCATTATCACTCTAGGGCTATGTTCCTTCTCCCTTAAATGTTTTTTCTCTCTCTCCCTCCTTTCTCTCTCTTCCTCCTTTCTCTCTCTCTCTCTCTCTCTCTCTCTCTCTNCTCTCCCTTAAATGTTTTTTCTCTCTCTCCCTCCTTTCTCTCTCTCCCTCCTTTCTCTCTCTCTCTCTCTCTCTCTCTCTCTCTATCTCTCTCTCTCTCTCTCTCTCTCTCCCTCTCTCTCTCTCTCACACACACACACAAACACATGTACATGTCTATATGCATATATACATCATCCAGATATATAGATATTTTAAATATATATTTATATCTACTTAGATTGAGACAGCTATATTCTACATACAGGCATTTTAGAGAGAGATAAAGGGAGGGAGGGAGAGAGAAAAAGAGAGGGAGAGAGAGTTAAATAACTCCTCATATCATGTGACGTCTTTTTAACTATAATATGGTACCTTTTCTAAACTTGTATATCTATGCTGAAATATTACACTACTACATATCTGTAATGAACAAACAAGGATATGTCATCAAAAAGTGAATACAAATTAGGAGGAAGATAATATTTAAGCCATTAGCTAAATTGAGTATTACTTAACTTTCTTCATTATTCAATAATTTGGAATATTATACCTTCTATTGAATGTGATACCTAAGTTGTACCTGTCCCCACTTCTGATTTTTCAGCCAAATATAATACCACTAATATTTAGTAACTCTCTGAAAGTCTTGTCTAAATGGCAAGATAATTTTTCTTTAGTAGTAGTAGTAGTAAAAGAAGAAGAAGAAGAAGAAGAAGAAGAAGATGATGATGATGATGATGATGATGATGAAGATATTTGACAGTTTGAATCATGATTTGGAGAATTTATTATTACTCTCCCACTTACTTTATATTTTGTAAGCATTGGATGGCGACCAGCAGTTATTAGCATGTCATCTCCTCGTTCTAGACGAAAACGAATTGGATGGCCAGTTCTGAAGTGAACAAATTAATACTTTTAACTACTATGGGTATTCTGTTTCCTGGGAGTTATTCATGAAAGCTATGCAAAATCCATAATAGTTGTATGAAGAAGCTCTTCTCACTATTGAATGGATATCAAGGAGCAAGAGAAAAGATCAGTAAACTGGCCTTAGGTCTCAGGAAGACAAAGTTTGGATTTTACTTACAATCCTGCAGTTTTCCTTCCTTGAAAGAGAAAGCATCCAATCTGGTTGACTACAAATATGATTATTAAATTTATCCAAAATTATTCAGAATCAAAACAGGTTTAAATAAAGTAGATCCTGCAAAATTATGTCACACCGAGTATATTTACTAGACCAGAGTTTTGGCTGAAAACCATAAATAAAGTCCATCTATTGTTCAGTTAACTGACATTACAACATAGAAAAGAAATGAAAAAGTCACTGAAGTCAAATTAGAACAAAAAATAATAATATAACAAAGAACATTTCTCATATATCCCTATCATGGGAAAATAGGAGGCTGACAATAGTATCTGCATACTCTGTAGTTTGTGGAAAATATATATCTCTGAAAAATACCAATAAATCATTAAGTATTTATTAAGCACCTACAACATGCCGGGGACTGTGCCAGGTGCTGGGAATACAAAATAAAGAAAGAAATAGTCTTGGCCCTCAAAAGACATTACAGTCTAATTGGGAAAAACAATGTGCACATATAAAAGTGTATGGGTAGAATAGATAATAAAATATATTAGGGGCAGTTAGGTGGTGAAGTGGATAGAACATTGGGCTTGAAATCAGGATCTGAGTAAAAATCTGGCCTCAGGCACTTACTAGCTATGTGACACTCAGCAATTCACTTAACCCCTATTTGCCTCAGTTTCTCATCTGTAAAATGGGGACACACTGGAGAAGAAAATGGCAAACCACTCCAGTATCTCTTCCAAGAAAACCCTATTGACTAGTCCATGGGGTCACAAAGGTTGGACACGACTGAACAACTGAACAACAAAACAGAATAAATACAAAATGATTTTGGAGGAAAAGCACTAGCCACTGAGAGCATCAGAAAAGGCTGTATGTTGAAGATGGAGATTGAGCTGAGCCTTGACCATGTTATGTGGAAACAACCTTGATTATGAGGATTTAGTTTGTAGCCTGGAACTTTACTGAGGCTATTAACTCTCTCAATTAGTATCTGCTGATTCCCTAGAATTTTCCAAGTAAACTATCATATCATTAGTAAATAGAGATCATTTTATTCCTTCTTTATCTCTCTTTATGACTTAAATTTCTTTCTCTTGTCTTATTGTAATAAGAACTATATCAGATAATAGTGAGGAGAATGAGCATCATTGCTTTACTCCCATATCTATTGTAAAAAGGCTCTTATGTATCCATTGCGTATGATGATTGCTATCGGTTTTAAATGAATGTCTTATGTGATATTTTTAAAAACCCCTCTATTCCTATACTTCATGGGGTTTTTAGCACTAAAGAGAGTTCTACTTTGACAACAACATCAAAATTATATTGATTGTTTTCCTAATGTTGAATGACTTCCCATGCCTGATATAAATTTCATTTACACATAATGAATGATTTTTTGGATAAATTTCTATAGTTTGTAAGACCAGATTTTTTTTTAAATTTGAATCAAAGTTAATTAATGATATTGACATATGGTTGTCTTTCTGTGTTTTATTTTTCCCTGGCTTAGGAATTAGGACTATATTTGTTTCACAAAAGGATTCTGGTAGAGTGCTTTCTCAGTTTTTGAGAATAATTTGTGAAGTGTAGGTACTAACTGTTCTTTAAAAGTTAAATGGCATTCTGTGAATCTTTCGGTACAGGAGTACCTTCTCTCCTCTCCCTTTCTCTAACCATTACCAGGTAGTTCCTTTAAAACTAAATCTATTTCCTTTTTCTGAGACTGGTTATTTAAAATCTTTATGTAGTCTTCTGATAGTTTGGGTATTTTATATTTTTAAAGATATCCCCATTTTCTTTTTAGTTTTGTGGGAATATTATATATTCTGATAGGTCTTTTTATTTCTTCTAATTTTGCTAAGCTAAAACATAGCTCATTTTCTATTTTATTGATTTCATCTTTAGCTTTCTTTATCAGTCTTTTAAAAGAATCAGCTTTTAGCTTTATCATTTCTTTATTTCCACTACACTAGTAAATAAACTACATTATTATGGACATTTACTACTATGTATTGTGTATCTAATCTATTGCACTTATCCACCACTCTATTTCATAGCTAGTACCAGATTTTTTTTAATGATTACCACTTTATAATTTAGTTTGAAAATTGGTACTGCTAGACAATATTCATTCACATTGTTTTCATTGATTCCCTTAATATTCTTGACCTTAAGTTCTCCCAAATGAATTTTGCTACTTTTTCTAGCTCTATACAATAATTTTTGGTACATTAATTGGCACTGCACTGAACAAGTAAATTAATTTAAGTAGAATTGCTGTCTTTTTTATTATATTGACTCAGCCTACTCATGAACACCTATGATTTCTCCCATTGTTTAGATTTGTGTTTATTTGTGTGAAAAGCGTTTTGTAACTGTGTTCAAATAGTTCCTGGGTTTGTCTTGGAAGGTAGACCTCTAAGTATTTTATATTGTCCACAGTTATTTTACATGGAATTTCTCTTTCTATCTATTTCTATGGGGTTTTGTTGATAATATAAAACCACCAATGATTTATGCAGATTTATTTTGTATCCTGCAATGTTGTTAAAGTTATAAATTGTTTCAACTAGATTTTTAGCTGATGTTCTAGGATTCAATAAGTATACCATCATATTGTCTGCAAAGAGTGATAGTTGTGTCTCCTCATTGCCTATTCTAATTCATTCAATTTATTTTTCTTGTCTTATTGCTATAGCTAGCATGTCTAATACAATATTAAATAGTAGTGATAATGGACATCCTTGCTTCATCTCTGATCTTGTTTGCAAGGTTTATCCCAAGTGCAGATAATGTTTCCTGCTGGTTTTAGATAGGTACAACTTCTCATTTTAAGGCAAGTTCCATTTATTCCTATACTTTCTAAGGTTTTTAATAGAAATGAGTGTTATATTTTGTCAAAAACTTTTTCTGCATCTATTGAGATAATCATTTGATTTTTGTTGGTTTTATTATTGATATTGTCAGTTATGCTAATAGTTTTCCTAATATTGAACCAGTCTTTCATTCCTGGTATAAATCTCACCTGGTCAAAAGGTATGATATTTGTGATATATTAATATAATCTCTTTGCTAGTATTTTATTTAATTTTTTTTGCATCAATATTCATTAG